TTGTCCTATCACTACACGCCCTTGTAAAAAGTCCCCCTTCAGCTTTCTTGTAGGCCCCCTTCAGGTACTGGAAGGCTGCTAGAAGGTCTCTGCAGAGCCTTCTCTTCCCAGGCTGAGCAGCCCCAACTCTCTCAGCCTGTCTTCACAGGAGAGGTGCTCCAACCTTCTGGTTAACCTTCATGACCCTCCTCTGGACCCACTCCAACAGTTTCATGTCCTTCTTAAGTTGGGGATCCCAGGGCTGAATGCAGTATTCCAGGTGGGGTCTCATGAGAGCAGAGTAGAGGGGCAGAATCACCTCCCTCGACCTGCTGGCCACGCTTCTTTTGATGCAGCCCAGGATATGGTTGGCTTTCTGGGCTGCCAGTGCACATTGCTGGCTCATGTTGAGTTTCTCATCAACCAACACTTCTATCGGCTCCTCCTTGTTGGTGAGAACAAGGTCCAGCATAGCACCTCTCCTCATTGGTTGCTCTATCACTTGGTGAAGGAAGTTATCATCAATGCATTCCAGGAACCTCCTGGATTGCTTATGCCCTGCTGTGTTGTCCCTCCAACAGATATTGGGGTGGTTGAAGTCCCCCATGAAGACCAGGGCTTGTGAACATGAGGTTGCTCCTATCTGTCTACAGAAGCCCTCATCCACTCAGTCCTCCTGGTGCATACCATCTCCTTCTTCTCATTCAGATTGTATTTATCAAATATGGATCACAGGATTTGTAGGAACAGTGTCTTAAAAGACTAGAGCCAAGATTTTCCAGGCAACATAGACACACATATCCACACATAAATTCTGAAACAATTGTGAATGGTATGTGCTCCCACAAATACCTCATGAATGCTTTTAGAAAAGCAATAGCCATACATACAAATTAAGCATGCAAATGTAAGTGGATATTAAATCCTGAAAGTTTTAAAATACTTTGTATATATTCCATGTGTATATATATCCAGTAATGGCAAGGCTGATAAAAGTTAAAAGCCCACATTTATCTTAAGATAGATATATGAGTATCTAATGCTTAACACAAAAAACAAAATTTGTTAGGCTTTCAAATTTAATTGAAAACATAACTGGTTTCATATATAACTTCAATTTTTTTTTTCCTAACCTATTTGCAATAGCCAACTTCACTGAGGGTTTTGTCTGCTTCTGAATTCCGCCTTTCAATCTTGACATAAATGTGGATACACTAAAAGATATTTTGAGCAATCATCAGAAAGCTTGCCAAATAAATAAAGCATATGCATATAGAAAGTACATCTAGTATGAAACATACAGATGAAAAAAAAACACACATGGGAAAAACCTACTAGGAATCTTGCTGTATAACCAGAACTGAGGGCCTCAGCAAGAACTAGTCATGACATGTGTGTGCCACACTTGGTAACTTAAGAATGAACGCAGTCTGTAGCCAAGGCTCTTCGCCAAGCCTCAACACGTGCAGGAGGCATAAATGTAGAATCAGGGGAGTCTACATGTCTGCAATCAGACCGTGAAAACCGTGTGAGAGGGATTTGGGGCACCACACAACAATGACAGTTATAGCCCCCTGTTATAGATCTAGATTGGAAATGCTAACAGGTAAATGCTTCCCTGTAAAAAACTCCCATCCTGAAAGCAAAACACTCGTAAAAGAAACATGTTTTCACTAATCTTCTGAAGACCTGCCAAGACAACCTGTGCATCAGCTTGCTTCTTTCAAGCGCCCTGTCTTTGGGACAGAAACTGTCTCACAGGGTTTGTGGCTCTGCGACATGAAACACCGTTATCCAGAAGGAATCGCCTGGAGTTTGCCAGCCCGCAGTTTCCAGACCTCCAAGTCAATTAGTGTCCAACCCCTGCGCTTCGTTACCACTGAGGCGTAACTGGTTAATGTGTATTAACCACAAAAGGGATGTATCTATGTTTCTATAAAAGCTTTGTTTGTTTACAATAAAATGTTTATTTTTCAAGGCACTCATTTCTAATGTAACTCTCTCCTACAGTAGGAAAAAAATTATCTTTAAGAAGAAATTTTGATAAGTTTTACCTGCTCTGTATCCAGTGTAATTTTACAAAATCCACTTAAAATTCACCAGTTTATCAGAATTTTTCATTTAGAATCAACGTAGTGCCCTCCTTGGCCTTTTAGATATTCAAAGATTTTCCATCTAAGTTATTTTTCTCAATGGGAAAAGTAATTTTTGTCCAGCAATGTTTTCCACGGGGAAGGAAAAAGTTAAGTTTCTCCGTTATGGGGATCCATGTCTCCTCTCACGCTCTGGCCACTTCAGGAGGCTTTAAAACCTTTTTCCTGGTGGTATTTTCCTGAGGGAGGAAGATCTCCTGTCTCTTCCAGCCTTTGGCACGCTGCTTCCCTCCATGGTGCCAAGGTCCCACCTGGGCAGCAATCATGTCTTCCTTCCCTGCCCAAAATGGGGGCACACCACAGCGGCAGGAGCAGCCAGGAAAAAACAAAAGGGCAGGAAACAGGGCCAAATAGAAAGCAGATGGGCACTTGTGGCCAGCACGGTGCGGGAGAAGGGAGTGGGCACGAGGAGCACCCCAGCCCAGCCCTCTCTGTCCTGTGAGGCAGCCGCTGTGGGGGCCGCCTGCGAGGTGGCACGCGGTCCCCTCGGAAGGCTGCGCCATACGGTTGTGCAAACCATTCCCCGCGAGCCAGCAGCCTGCCTTGCCCTCGGGTTGTCTCTGGGCGTCAGTCCAGGCGCTGTTTTTCCCAGGTTTTTCTGCAATATTTGCTTGTGGCAGTGCGGCTGGCTGCCTGCTCAAGATGG